CCACTTTACTGTGGTTCCAGGTCATGCAGACCTCTTTGGCAGATGCACACAGATAACCCTTTACAAGAAGTCCCATCATGTGAATCTCTGCCAGACTCTTCTCGTAATTTCTTATATAAACTCCTCCTCCCTTAACATGTTTGAAACCACAGCCCAGAAACCTCAGAAATCTCACTCACAAACTTTATAGATCCTTCTCCAAAGAAATCTATCATTGATGATGGTTTGATTGACCTTGATGGTTTGTCAGTGATTAATGTCCGGCATATACATTATTCTAAAGTTTTAATGATAATAATGCCAGAAACCCAGGCGCCTCAAAACTCTCAACTGATACAGTTGCTATCCGATGAGCTCTGGTTGCTGATATAAGCCCACGATGAAAACATTTCCACAGTGCAAGTAATAAATGTAATTATACATCCGTCATCCACCCCTCTGCTCATTAAATCCCACATTTTCCTTGGTGTGTCTCTTTACTGTTATGACTGTTTATCGACATGAACATGGAGAGCAATTAAAAACAGCCCGATTCATTAGTAACAGAGCATAAGAGTGTACTTTACAAATCTTAGACTATAATTAGTTTAATATGATTTCTGCAATAATAAACCGCTCAAAAATACAGAGACAACTCAGTTATTTATATGATTTTTTCACAGCTATTATAAACAAACACACAAAAAAACACAATTTAGATAGATCTAGGAACAAGAAAAACATGTTTAAGAAACATTAAATAAATTAGCTAATGTCCAGCAATATTTTCTTTCCTGTGCACATATTTAACAGCAATTGTGTCAGCAACAGTCAATGCAATGTATAGTGGTGTAACAATTCACCATTTGAATGGCCATTTCCATTTTAGCTGTTCAAAAGAATTAGTTTTTTTGAGACTGCAGATTTATGAATGGACTTTTGTCTGACCCCAAAAAGTTTTGCTTTCAGGTGTATAAACAAAACAAAATAAGTGTTTTACAATTAAACATGAGCAAGCCGTAAAGAAATCATCAGATATTGTCTCAAGTCGAACATAGCTCTGGTGTTGTTAAATAGATTTTAGACCAAAAATGTGATGAAGCTGTTTGATACGTAGAGCGTTTTGAATCAACAGTCTTCAAATAAACAATTACATGAGATATAACAGAACAAAGGAAAGTTTGCACCCCAAAGCAATGTGGTGCTGCTGTGCACTGTGGCTTGGTTAAACTCTTGAACTCTGCATCATCTTTACAAACACGCGTTGTGCAGCTGAGCTTTGTTCAAACCGGTTGTTTTAAATTCTAGAGGACACGAGAACTAAAAGATACCTTTAGGAACAATGTATGAAAAAATATGCACAATGCACCTCGGGGATTTTTGTTTGAGTTAACGGTTAAACTGTAAAACATTGAAACATAAAACATTGTCTCATTGTAAATACTTTACTCAGCATCATTTAGTTAAGTGATATTTTCATAGTAAATTTAAATAAACTTCTGAGTAAATTTGGGAGGAAAAAGTTAGAGAGGTTAAGGCCCAATTTTAAGCTGCGGTTTGGTGCCCCCTGTTTGAAAACTTTCACCAAGAGCTTGATATTGATGACATAAGTTGTTGCATCGAATATATGAGTGTACAATTACATTTAGGGGGACTTCACATTTGAATTATGATGACATCAAGTGTTTTACATTAATTCCAAGACCATATGTTAATACACCCAAACTGTTAACGAGTCAGTCGTGTTCTGGATTGGTTTGTCATTCATCTATCTAATAATAAATGTAGTTAAACCTGTGCAACAAATTGTCTTGTATCGCACTTTTCTGGGATTGTTTAAACATTTCACTCACCTGCTCTGTTTCCTTTGACTTTCTTCCCCTCATTGAGCTGAAACGTTAACAGCAAACAGCATAAGATTTTGACCACTGACATAGTGTCTGACAGATACTTTGGTAATTCCTTTGAACCGACACAGAGAACAGGCTTAAATGTTTTAGTGGGGGAAATGCAGGTAATGTGGAGTTTGAAGGCGAGATCCTTTTGTCTGCAGCTATAGAAGCTCTTTTAAAGAAGCCTCATTTCTGTCCTGAGGGTTGAAATCACGGTGGGGAACACATTTGACGTATTGTCCAGCGAAAGAGGGACACCAGGAGTAATGGTTTACGGGTTAGGGGGATTTGGTCCTGTCCTGATTGGCTGGGGGCTGGCCCATGTCGATCGAACACATTGTGAAAGAGCAGAGGTATGAATGGGGAGGGGATCTGGTACAACGTGCTGATAGTGAATGAGAGGTGGAAATGACCTCAAATCAGATCCTCTACAAGTGCGAGAAATTGCAGGAACTACCTGTTTCAAGCCAAACTTTAGTGTGTGGACAAAACATGAATGACTAAAGCAAGATTTTTCTCACATTGCCGCAATACATGTTTGAACAGTTGAAAAGTAGCACTTTGTGTTTCCAGTGCACTCAGCCTGAAACCAGATTGTATTCAGAGATTATCTTTTTTTATTTGAAATGATGTAACAAAACCATTTATTTTCATGATAAATCAGATATTTCAGCATGCTGTTTCAGGAGATAATTGATAAAATAAGCCCAATCCTCATTTCTGTTAGAAATGTCTGTGGTGTTTTAAACCAGGGAATTCAATGTTACAGTCTGCTATTACCATTTCATTGGACTGTTTTCAAGTGTCAGTTTGTCTGAGGTAAATGTCATGTTTAAGCACAGTACACAATCAAAGTTAATGGTTACACAATGGTCATGGAGACCCTCACATACTGATATAAGTCTGGTACTTACACTCTGGTACACACTGGCACATCTGCACTTTTTTTCTTTTTTTTTTAACTCTTAATTAAACAGTAATTAACATTATTTTTTAAATTAATATGTCTTTCTAATTGAATACACTGCTTACATGTGTGCATGTGGTGTCCATGTGGTGTGATTTAATCAAATTACAATTGAAAAATAACCAATTAAATCAACTCAGATGGTTCTATACAAAGGGATGCTCGTGTGTTCTAATAATATAGCTGGTATTAATAATATTAACTATCCAGTGGCTCATCATAGAGGCTGTGAAATGAGTTACAGTAATACCTGAACTGGCATTGATGATTTGCTGTATTTTCATTATTGGATCTGGAAAGTCCCAAATGAGATCAGTATTCACAAACACATAAATTCACAGACACGTAGATTTCGTGGTCCTGTGTGAGTGTCCTCTTCTGTTTGCTACATTAAGTATGAACAGAATAACATTTCAAACTGTAAACATAATCTTTAAAACCTCAGTTCAGTCCAGCAGCAAAGCTAAAGTCACAGTTTGTCTGTGTGTCACATCTGCAGGTGAACAGTTGCAGGCAAACATGATGAACCTTTGCTTTTCCAAGTATCGTGTGTATATATGTGCGTGTGTGTGTGTGTGTTTGCTTCTGTGTCTGGGCATGCTGAACAAACAGTTCAGACAAAAATACATTAGGCCTAATGTAAATCAGGTTAAGAATGAGAATGGATCACTGCTGCTGTAAGCGTAGAAATTCCTCTTTGATATGAGCAAAAGGCTCGTGTACAGTAGCTAGTGTGGTCCATTGTTATGTAACGCTGTTATTATTCAAGTCAAAGAGAGCCTCTGGGGAAGAGCTCTGAAACTACTGAACTGCAAAAACACACTCTTCATCTATTCTCCATGAAAGCTTTTCCAGTTGTTGTCTTTTAAATTTTGATGTATTTCTGCTTTACTTGCTACTTTTACGTTTTACTTTGTGACTGAGTGCACTGGACTAGTATTAATGACAAAGATTTAATTTGTAGAATAAATTCCTACATTTGATCAATAACAGCCTGTTTGTGTGTGTGTGGCGCCCTTGTACATCTATCTTTGTGAGGACCAAATAAAGCCCAACTTAGACCTTAACAGACCTTTTTAACAAAATTCAAATTAAAAAAAGAAACATTTATTTTCCCTTAGGGAAAAAAACGCAACCGAGTGAGTTCACTGTAAAATAAATAATAAAATCACTTGGTAAAACATGCTTTTTCGTTTACAAACAAACCTACATAAGTTGAATTGAATTTTTACAGCAGACATTTTGACTTGTCACAGCAGGAAAAGCACAGTTGTTACTGATAGCATTAACGATGGCTCTGTTCTATTCAAGTGTCCCAGTAAACTATGACTGTGTGTCAGTTAGCCAGTGTGTACAATACCAGGACCCTGACTCTGAAGCAGCTATGTGGAATTCAGACATCATTCATTTTATTATTTACACCTGTGCTTTTCCTACTGTGATATGTTAAAATGTCCTCTGAGAAAAGGCATCTTTTTCCTATTGGATTATGAAATCAAAGTCTGTCTGACAATATTTTCACAAAAAAAAAGAGCAAACTTGACTGGACAAAAAGTCTCCACCTTAGCTGGCTACAAAACTTATCTTCACAGAAAGTGTTTTGAAGAAAATCAGCAGGAAATCTCTTTTTTTTTTTAGGGAAAAAGCTTATTTTCAAACCTGGGCCCTATTTTCACATATTTTGGGGTTGAAATGACTAGTAGGTGGAAAAAGTTTTGGAATTCACTGCAAGTTTGGAAGCCACTGCAGTCGCAAATGTTTGTGCCCGTCAAAATTACGTTCACAAAAAGTGGTTCTTTTTGTCATCGACAAGTTCACTTTTATACAAGGTGCGATCATTTCTAGTGACTCCTGGTGATGACACCCTTTTTAACAAGAAGCAGAAGTCTTGATCAAGGACAATCCTCACTCTGAAATTTCACGAGAGGCAAGTTGTTGAAAGAAGATGCCGGTGGAAATGTGAGTCAGAGGTCGGGAGAGTTTGTTGTATGAAAATTAGGACCAGGTTTAAAAATACCAAAATTATCCTTTTATGTTTTTTGAATGGAAACAATTGGTGCCTTTTGGGAGGCGTCATGGTTGCATATCATATAGTGTGTCATCCCTAATCAAATCATAATCATTTTTGTTTTCAAAAATCTACATAACAAAGAGAACAAGAATAAATTATTTCAACAAACTTTATTCAATATTTAGGTACACTGCATAGAAGTGAAAAAAATCATACAAGAAAACCAGCTAATTCAGATACCACTAAAGTGTAGGACAGAGAGAGATGAGTACCAACATATACATCATTTCTCTGAACAACTGAATAGATTCAGTGAAACAAACACCTTCAGCTGCTTTTCAAACATGCATAGCCTACTGTAATTATTCTAATTGAAAAGTAGGCCTCATACAGGGTTTGAAGTAAAATGGGCACCCTGAGTGTAATAATAATAATAATAATAATAATAAATAGATTTATATAGCGCTTTTCTAAGTACTCAAATACGCTTTACAGATGGTTAGATGAAAGTAATTGGTTAAAAAGTAGAGGAGGGGAGAGAGCAGAAGGAAGTTAACCGGAGAACGCAGTCTTGAAAAGGTGGGTTTTGAGGGTCTGTTTGAAAGATGGCATGGTGTTGGATTGAGCGAGGGAGGGCATTTCAGAAGGAGGGTGCAGAATTGGGAAAAGCCCTGTCACCCCAGGTCTGGAGCTTTTTTCTGATGGTTTTTAGTGTTGTTGCTTTTTGTGTTAAACTGGTTCTGGTGAAAGCAGGACCAAATGATGTTTTGTACCACTGTCTTTCTTCACATTCTTTTCTGTTTTTCAAAAGTAAAAAGTAAAACAAACACATGAAAAAAACACTCTTGCTTTCAATTGATTGTCACACTGCCAAACAAGTGTTTTGTGTATTACATAACCATTGTGTTGTTGTAAAATGACATTCAGTGCAGTACAATATAATCTCACAATTAATGTATGTAGTGGTCCAGTACCTATTCTTCCAGGCTGGGTCATATTATTCTAAAACATAGCATGTTGACATTGGGGTTGTCTTTGCAAATTCACATTTCTGTGCTAACTTGATACAAAAATTATACATTTCACAGTTAAGAAAGGAAAGTCCTGTGTTTTACAACTCCATTTTACATTTCCAAGCACTATTGTTCCTTTTACAATACGCTGTCCAATGTTGAACTTGCAACCAAACCTAAACCATCCCAACAATGTGTGTTTTATCACTCATTTTACCTTAGCCCTGAAGAGTTATTAATGTAAACAGTTACAGTCAATGTTTGCATTTGCCCCTCATACAGAATGTGCATTGCACTGACTCAAACACAATGCATAAATGAATTCAATTTGTAAAAGCTTGTGCATGTTTCTATGATTTACATGTTTTACACTTACATGTCTTCTTATGGCTTTTCAATTTCAAGGGGGCCTGTAACAAGTAAATCTGTAATCTAGCAACATAACAGTCTGCTTGTCACAAAATTATGGAGGAAAAGAAAAAGTAAGCAACACCAGTATAATCATTTAAGGCTGGATTTTCTACATAAATGTGTTGCAACGCTGTAAGCAAGATAAAGCAATCAATCACTTGCAATACATGCAAATGTGAAAAGTGAAACACAATGAGGAAGTCGCTGCAACATATCATTAATGAAACCCATTGGCTAAAAATAATATAAATGACTAGATTTCCACATTAAATCAACTGTTTCTACAAGTGCCACATGTATTAAATGCCCCTTTTTGTTTGTTAGGTAGACAGTAGTAAAAATAAAAATGCTGTACAGAAACTTGGCAAATATTTCTAACGTTAGGGAGATGATCCCAGTTAGGAAATAAGAGACTATTAAGAATACTGCATAGATATAATGCAGAGGAAACCCTCCATCCAAGGTTGTGATATAATGGAATTAGAGGAAAAGGTTGATGTCTAAGATTATATTTATCAAGGTAAGTTGACTATTTTAATATATGAAAGAGCCCTGGCAGATAAAACCTGAAACTTATAAATAGACCAGACTTTCTACAAAGAAGAGACTTGAAAGGTTTCATAAAACATGGATGCATATTTTACAAATGACTATGAAATTGTGAAGCCAGATGCATGCTTTGTACTAAACCAGTAACTGTAAATGTTCTCAGAATTTTTCCTGTAAAAATGTATAATACTGCTTGATCTAGATGAACATTTTTGCCTGAAGGTGAAAATCAGCTGCTTTGTTGCTTTGCTCTGCAACCCATGTTCTAAATTTTAACTCATAGTTATGACTTCATATTTGTCCTGGACGTTGTTCTCCTCCTGTTTTTCAGGCTCAGCGTGGTGCAACTCAATGAAGAGAAAGTAAACGCCCGCTCCAACTGCTCCACCCACCATAGGCCCTGCCACAGGGATCCACCACCAGCAGCCTCCAGCTCTGCAGTGAGGATGACCCATACACATGAATAAAAACAAAATAAAGACAAAATCCAATTTAACAATGTATTTACTATTATTTACACAGCATCCTGCATTAATTAAACCTTTAAAATCTTAAACATTTGGCTTAATGGAGCCGTCACAGTAACTTACTAGAGTCTCTGCAACAAGACTCTAGGAAGTCGCAGCTCTTTGTGCTAAGCAAAGTTAACCGACTGCTGATGAAAGCTTTATGTTTATGTATAGACATGAGATTCATATCACAGTGGTCAAATTTGCATGAATAAAGCTTTGTGCTAAATCTATCTTCAGCAAGTATTTCCCAAAATGTTGGTTTGGTTTGCAGACACTTGTACTACTGACACATTCTTATTAGGCTACTTGTCAAAATTGTTCCAACTTACCTACAGTACTATGCAAAGGTGTGGAAAAAATGCTATAAAGTAAAAATGCTTTCAAAAATAGATATGTTGATAGATTATGTTTATCAATTAACAAAATGCAAAGTGAATGAACAGAAGAAAAATCTAAATCTAAATCTTCTAAATCCACACTTTTCCTTCAAAACAGCACCAGGTAGGAGCACTTCATTTTTGAAAGAACTCTGCAGGTAGGTTGGCCCAAACGTCTTGGAGAACTACCTACTTCTGTGGATTTAGGCAGCCTCAGTTGATTCTATCTCTTTATGTAATCCCAGACAGACTCCACCATGCTCATTCTTGTATCACTCTCCAGCCCTTCGGTAAACAAACTACCTTCAGCTGCAGCCAAATATTTCAAATTTTGTCTCTTCAGTCCAGAGCACCTGATGCCATTTTTCTGCACCCCAGGTCCAGTGCTTCTATGCATAGTTGAGCCGCTTGGCCTTGTTTCCATGTAGGAGATATGGCTTTTTGGCCGTAAGTCTTCCATGAAGGCCACTTCTGACCAGACTTCTCTGGACAGTTTGAGCTGATGGCACAGCTGGACATCTTACATTTGGAAAGGGAACCAAGCATGATATGTCTTTCATCTGCTGGTTGACCACTGCGTCTACAGTCCTTAATGTTGACCATTTGTTTGTGCTTCTTCAAAAGAACTTGGACAGCACATCAGGAAACCCCTGTCTGTCTTGAAATGCCTGGGAGAGACCTTGCTGATGCAGTATAACTACCTTGTGTCATGTTGATGGGCTCAGTATCACTGGGCTGTATGACTTTTGACAGTAAACTGTCTTCAGCATCCTCACTTTGTTAGCTGAGTTTGGCTGTTTCAGTTGTATTCCTCCTACACAGCTGTTTCTGTTTCAACCTATTGCATTAGTGATCATAGCACCTGTTCGGTATAGTTGTTAAATCATACATATATATATACTGTTTTTAAGGCAAAGGGTGGTCAAACCAAATATTGATTTAATTTAGATTAATCTTCTATTCACTCACTTTGTGAGTCTGTTTATCTATTAATTTGTCTATTTTAGAAAGAATTCTTACTTTACAGTGTTTTCCCCACACCTTTTGCACAGTACAGTGTAGATATACAGAGAACCAGCACTACAGACCAGCCTTGAGTATCAGTGTTGAGTACTGAGAAACGTCTCGGGTTACGTATGTAACCCTTGTGACACTGCGTTGGTGACGACACTATGGGAACGCCTCTGGGCATGGCAGGGCTGAAATCATGAAAGAAACTACTCCAATCCTATTGGCGTTGCTAGAACGGTAGCGTGTGATGGCGTAACTGGAGGCGTATATAAGCACGCCGGCACACCAGACACATTAGCTCTTTGCTATGAAGCAAGGCACTCCAGGCGGGGTGAGGTGTGGCGGACGGTCCAGACTGTAAAACCGGATGAAAGTGTGAGGAGTGGCCCAGCCAGCTGCCTCACAAATCCTGGAGCGAAGCCCCTGCGAGGAGGGCCCTAGAGGCCTCGAGTAGAGTGCGCCCTTGTGGCCATAGGTGACGGTAACCCGCGCACCTGATAGGCCAGGGAAATAGTCTGAACGTGTGTTTGGAAGCGGAGAGCCCAGCCTTGGGGGACCCGAAACACACCAGCAACTGGTCTGCTTTCCTCCACCGGGAGGACCTCAGAGTGTAAATACTCAGCGCTCTGACAGGGCAGAGCAGATGAAGTCTCCCGTCCTCCGCCGTCACATGAGGTGGGGGATGAAACGCCTGCAGCACCGTAGACCCTGCCAACCTGGACGGAACCTTAGGTACATAGCCCGGACAGGGGTGCAGGATGGCTCTGACCCTCCTCGGGGTAAACTCCAGGCATCGAGGAGAAACCGAAAGTGCCTGGAGATCCCCCACCCTCCTCAGAGAGGTGATAGCGAGGAGAAAGGCCATCTTAAGGGTCAGGTGCTTGGCCTCAGCCGACTCCAGGGGTTCGAAGGGGGCCTCAGCCAGCACTTCGAGAACCACTGCCAGGTCCCAGGTGGGAACCCTGGAACGAGTCATGGGTCTCATCCTCCGGGCTCCACGGAGGAAGCGCACGACCAGTGGAAGCCTCCCCAGAGGCCCATCCCTCAGAGGGGCGTGGAACGCTGCCATGGCAGCCACATACACCTTGAGTGTGGACGGGGAAAGGCCAGCAGAGAAACAGACCTGGAGGAACTCCAGTACCATAGTCACCGGACAGGTAACTGGGTCCACCGCCCGTTCTCTACACCAGGTGGCAAACACAGTTCCACTTCAGGCCGTACGTCCTTCTCGTGGATGGGGCTCTGGAGCTGAGCAGCGTCTCAACTGTTCCCGCCGTCAGGCCCGCCTCAAGGAACTGGGCCCCCTCAGGGGCTAGACCCACAGCTGCCACAGGGCGTGGCAAGGGCGAAAGACCTGGCCCTCCGCCTGAGACAGCAGGTCCCTCCTCAGAGGAGAGCCCTCCAGGAGCGATATTATGTCAGAGAACCACACTCGGGCCAGCCAAAACGGGGCTACTAGCAGTAGGCTGACACCGTCCTGACGGACCCGCTCCAGAACCCCCGGGGGCAGAGCGACTGGGGGAAAAGCAGCCTCGGCCACGTCTGCACCATGGCATCCAGCCCTAGCGGGGCTGGGGGCAAGAGGGAGAACCACAGTGGACAGTGCGTTGTCTCTTGAGACGCAAACAGGTCCACGTCTATAGGGCCGAACCTTTCACACAATAACTCCACCACCTCGGGGTGGAGCCTCCATTCCCCGGGCTCCAGTCCCTGTCTCGACAGGGACCCTGATTCTGGGTCCCAGGGATATACGTCGCTCTGAGAGACAGTAGTCTCTGCTGGGACCACAGGAGGATCTGATGTGCCAGCTTGCAAAATGGGCGCGAGCGCAAACCAGGACGTGGCGACCGTGGAGAGCGGGCAGAAAACTCCCCAGAGCTCTGAAAACCGCCAACATTTCCAGGCAATTTATGTGCCAAGAGAAATGATGCTCCTGCCAGAAGCCTCTCGCAAAGCGGCCGTCCATGACCGCGCCCCACCCCGTGAGTGATGCGTCTGTCAAAATAATTGTCCGGCGAAATGACGCTCCCAACACGGGACCCTGGGACAGGAACCAAGTTTTCCTTCATACTGACATTGAACGAAGGCACCTGCTCGTAACCCGTATCAGATGGAACGGATTCCCCCTCTGGGAGAATCCCTTGGATTTTAACCACCACTACAGGGCTCTCATGTGCAGCAGGCTAGACGGGATTACGCTGGACGCTTCCGCCATGAGACCCAGCAACCTCTGAAAGTGTTTCACAGCGATGGTGCGGCCCAGCTTCACTCTGGTCACTGAGGACAAAATGGACCCGACGCGTGCAGGCGACAGGTGGGCCCGCATCATCGTCAAGTCCCACACCACCACTAGGAACGTAGTCCGTTGCTAGCCGTCGGGTGGGCGTCAGCATGCTCTTCTTCGCATTGAGCCGCAGCCCCAAACGCTGAAGGTGGGCAAGGACGACATCTCGATGCCGAACTGCTAACTCTCGAGACTGGGCCAGAATGAGCTAGCCATCGATGTAGTTCAGTATGCAAATGCCTTGGAGCCTCATCGGGGCCAGAGCTCCATCCATGCACTTGGTGAACGTGTGAGGGGAGAGTGCTAGGCCAAACGGAAGAACCCGATACTGGTACGCCGCGCCCCCGAAGGCGAACCTCAGGAACTTCCTGTGAGAGGGACGAATGGAGATGTGGAAATATGCGTATCTCAGATCTATCGTGACAAACCCATCCTCGGATTGGATGTGACTGACGATGGCGGGGATGGCGAGCATCTTGAACCTGAATCTCCTCAGAGATTGGTTCAGGGACCGCAGATCTAAAATCGGACGCAGTCCTCCGTCCTTTTTGGGAACTATGAAGTACCGGCTGTAGAACCCGGACTCCCTGACTGGCTGGGAAATAAGTTCTATGGCCCCTTTTTCCAGCAGAGAGCAAACTTCCTGTCCCAACACCTGGCTCCTCGGGGCTGGTGGCCGGTATTATGCGTAGGTCCCCGGCGGCACCTTGAAGCGGAGGTTCGCCAGGGAAAAACTTCCGACAACCCATCGAGCAGGAAGGTCTTCTCCCTCTCCTGGATGCCCGATAGGTTGAGCCACAGGTGCCACTCCGTGGCCGACAGGGAGCGGTCAATGGCGCGGGCCGTCTCTTTTGTGACTCGGAGTGACAGATCCGTAGCTCTGCGGAGCTCAGCGATGTCCTCCTCAGAGGGACCCCCTCCTGAGTCCATGTCCTTCAGTAGGTCGGCCTGATATGCCTGCAAAACCGCCACTGTGTGCAGACTCGCACCAGCCCGGGCCGCCGCCATGTACGCCTTGCCCACCAGAGCAGATGTCACGCGACATGGCTTGGTGGGCAGCGCCGGCTCTTGAAGGGACGACGCAAGACCGGGCGAGAGATAGCTGGCCAAAGCATCCTCAACCCGGGGCATCGTCCCATAGCCAAAACTCTTAACCCCCACGACGTCGCTGTAAACCCGGAGCGGGATAGTAGTCAGACGTGCTGAGAAGGGCTTGCCCCAGGATTTGCACAACTCATCATGCAAATCCTG